TTTTGATATGTAGTATCTAACAACTAAGAGCAAATGTTCTTCACTATTGACGATGTGCAAGACAACTCATTTGCTCCCACTTATTCAACCACCTTATTCTTTCGTTGAAATTCGCACATTCATTGGGCACATAGAATTACTCGTATTAGATGTCGCGAGAGAAAACATAATAAATGCTTTAAATTGAAATCCAAAGATTGTGAATAAACATTCGAGTACAATTGCATTAGACCGTTCTACTTTGGACGAGGTTCTACATGTTGTGTAAAAGTGCATTAGGATTTCATACGGTGTCCCATTAATACAATAGAACATTTGGTGTTGGTTTTAATACCCTTTTCTTTAATAATTAATTGATAGGGATTGTGAAAATGTATTATATATCGTACTGCACCTGCGAAATTTTGTGGTCTGCTCCCGCAATAATTAATCATTTGTCAACAAAGTTGTAGGAAGACGCAAACACAACCACAGAAAAAAACTAATTTTATTTTCGATATCAGTATATTCAACGTCTTTTACTTGAGTTCGTGTTGAAGATTATAATTTACAGAATATTTGTTTCCAGTTTCAATTTTGAGAAACTAAACGCTTTCAGAACCGAATAGCAATTTGTTATATAGTGCACAGTGTGCAATGTTGTACAAACAGCTCAATATAACAACTTGTACTACCCACTAAAAATTTAGAGTTAGGTTGGGGAGGTTTTGATAGAAATATCACTTCTTTATGATTTATCTACCAGTTTAAGATTGTGAAGTGACGATACAAAATGTCCTGAAAACGATATTACACTCCGTTACGGGTATTACCATTGCAAATGCAAAGAAAGTTATTGAGACTCCAATTCAGCTTTATACGTAATGAAGGCGCTGGATACGCATACTGAATACTTAACGTCTCACCTTGCTGTTCTATGAATAAGAAAGGTGTTGGAACATCAGTGAAGACGCTGTAAACGACTTAGCGGTGCATAACCGAGGTGGAAGCACTCCCATAGTGAAAGATCATATCATCTGTACGTGCCACACGGAACCATTCAGAGATTAGTAATACAATTTTCTCGCTTGGGCGCAATAATAAAAAGCAGATTAAAAATTAAAGCTCGATAAAATTAATATCGAAAAGCACCAGTAGGGTTCATTCGCCATTTTAAAGCAACGATTTGCGAAACATTTATGTAATATAGTATTGTTAAAGAAATGCGAGTGAACGGTCAACAGCTTTCGTGTGTACTACTATTGTAACGCTAGCACAACGGTATTCTCCTTTCCTTAATCACAGACAATAGACTGACGTCATTCGTGCAAATATATCGATGTGTTAAATACCAAATTATTATGTGATAATTCGTTTAACCTTATTTAGTTATAACTGGCAAAAACAACTTACGAATGTTCCAATTAATACCCGAATACGCATGTACTGCCCGCTGCCCGCTGCCCGCTTAGCATCCGAACAATTTACGTTGCAGAAGAGGCGCAGGGACTTATGGCCTTCGAGCATCATCTACCTCTTCCCTACGCCTTTGATTCCCTTGCGGAAGAGTTCACTCAACTCTGTCGCGAGACGATTTCAAATTCTGAAGAGCATTTCGAAAATCTCTTCAATCCCTTTTTGTGTGTGAAGTCTAGAAAAGAATGTTTGGCCGCGACAGCCCTCTCTTTGCAGCAGTCATAGCCGCCGCTTTGATTTGCGGATTTCGTGGAAGCCGTGACCGCTGGTCTCTCGCAAGAGGCTGTGGAATACGGCGGTGAGAGTCGGAGAGCCGAGGTTGCATTGAATTGTGTGTGTGTAGGGGGGGGGCACCGAAGATAAGAGCTAAATTTGGAAAGGACGGGAGTAGACGTAGTGCGGGAAAGCAGAGAGAGGAGATGAGAGGGCAATGAAGAACAATGGCAGTGAAATGGAGCGGCGAAGGAGAACAATGGTGAAGGAGAGTGATGGTGAAAGAGAGTTTCGACTTAGAACAACGGTGGCGAAAAAGAGCGACCGTAAATTAGCGGCGATGAAAGAGAGCGGCGATCGAGGAGAGCGGCGATGAACGAGAGAGACGCGATGAACGAGAGAGACGCGATGAACGAGAGAGACGCGATGAACGAGGCAGACGCGATGAACGAGGCAGACGCGATGAACGAGAGAGACGCGATGAACGAGAGACGCAATGGAGGAGAGACGTGATGGAGGAGAGACGTGATGGAGGAGAGAGGCGATGAAGTAAAGACGCGATAGAGGACGCAGGCGATGAAGGAGAGCGGCGATGGTAGGTTGACGATGATAGAAGGATGCCGATGAAAACAAATGGAGGCGAAGATGATAAAAATTAGGGATGAGGGCCACAAGATCATGAAGTTCTGTGTCAGGATGGAGCCGCAAACGCGACGGCGGGCATGTAGTAGTATGAGTGATGCGTGTGGGAGGTGACGACCAACTCCTTTCCCTGGAGGCGATCGACTGCCTCTCGCGGCCTGCGCTGGCCGGCGCGCGCCGCCGGGGCCTCGGCCTCTAATGGATTTGACGAGACGGGTCAGCTGCGGCGGCGGTGGCTGCCCAGGCGAGGCCCGCGCCAGGCAACTCGGCCGCCAGGCGCGCGCGCCTTGTTAACGCACGCATTTCAATACGGCGTTTACGACGCTGCTCTGTGATTTTTTTCTATTACTCACCGTACGCTAATGGGGTTTGGAGGCACGCATTTGTTTTTATCCTCACGAGCAGAGAGAACTTCTGATGTTCATTGTCTTTGAAACAATCAAATCTACTTTTATTGCGAGCTCTTGTATTATTTGCGCAATTATGTATTTTTCGAATATTTTAAGTTCATGTACAATCTCTCATTCTGTCGTTAGGACCAATGGTCATTTTCAGACCTATCATAGATCTCGTGGGGGACATTTAATTGTCTGCAGAGAACATTGTTGGGATTGTTCTGGAGTTGGAAAATAGCAACAACAATAACAATAATCGGCTAAATAATATTAGTAAAGTAAATTAATGAACCCACTGAGTAATTTGTGAGAACATTGGTGTTGTAACAATGGCTGACAAATACGAAACGGTAAAAGTATACCTACGTATTTGTTATATAAATATGATGTGGTGAAACACAGCGTCTTTTACCTTTCTTCTCCCAACGATATTTCAATATAAGATCGATACGTTGAACAGAATTGTTTACACTTTGCTGTATCGACAAATTAAGATACTTCAAGCTGTAATGAATTTTGTTTCAGATATAAGGAGTATTTCAATTATTTTATGATACCTCTTGAATTGTATTACATTTTTTTGAATAATTTTGGGCCAATGTCCAAAGATTAAAAATAATAATTGAAAAGGGCATATGCAATAATTAGTTGTAAAGTATCTGTATTAGTTAATAAAATTCATGTCAATACAAGAACTTTAACTATCATATATTTCTGTTTAAACTTTTCATATATTAAAATACTCGCCTCCTCTGTTAATTTGTTTAAGTTATTTTGTCGGAGAATGTTTGGAATTTTTATCGGAGAATTTTCAGGACAAATGCACTGCAATGACATCAGTTGAGCTACTTTGTTGCCTGTTGCAGATGTGATAAGTGATTCTATCCTCACGTATTTTTTTAAAAACTGGTATTACACAGTTACCTCGGTTGCTCTTCATTCAGAGGAGCAGGATTTATACACATGCCACAGAATGTGTGTTTAGTACATATTCATTACACACTTTTCCCGAAAGTTGACTCGAATTTTTTTATTTGTATGTCACTTTCATCCCGTTTGATAAAGACGATAGAACAAACTCAAACGAACAAACTTAGATTTCATATGCAATGGGTGCAGCGTTGTTTGCTACCGAGTTAAATAGCTTTTGTATTAAATTTTGAAAATTGTGGGTAACAAACTACACAAAGCTATTCTTCGAAAATTTTCTCCGTCAGCAAATCCACAAAGGCGTAGTTCGCAGAGTGTTGAAATTTCGGAACAACGAAGTAAAGGCCGAACGCACGGCAAATACACGACATTGAGTATATGTGGAGCGCTAGCCTTTTACGTTTGCACAGAAAAAGTTCTCCAGCGTTTCTACTTTGGCGACGTATTATTAGAGCATTCATTACGTCATTCAGCTTTATACACCCTGTTTAAAACGATTTTTTAATGCGGTCTCCGTAAGATAATCAGCACTGGAATACATATTACTAATTTATAATGCTCGCATAAATTAAAAAAAAAAACTACGCAGCCTCCAATGCAAGTAACAATGGTTTTGTTACCTACACAGGAACTCGACAAAATGCAACAAAAATGAAAGTTTAAATCTTCATTGAAAAATATATGATAGCCACCTAATTTCATACAGTGCATACCGATTGAATTCTCATACGTAAAGCGTCAATGTTTTCGACATAGCCGACGTCATGTATTACAAGGCTGCGAGGATGAGGACATACACCAGTAAATATTTAATATTCACATGTTACGTTACGGTACAGCAATTTTTATTATATTCTTGATATGTATAGAACTGTATGTGTGCTACACTATGTCGCTGATGAAGTTAAAATATTCAATTTATTGTAGGGTTAAACGAGAGTATTATATTTGTTGTTCTTGCGCAGTGTGAGTTGCTACTTTTTGGTTAACTATTTGGTGCGGTTTGTGTTCAGCAGCATTTTTGCTTCTGCTACCCTCTTGTCAACTTCTTTGCGTTCATGTGGCAAATGCAAGAACAATGATTTTAGATTGAATGTTTTGTAAAACTTAACAAAAATAATAATGGGCAACATATTCATATTTAATCTTTTGGCATCTCATCAGTGCAAAACGTGATAATTGTGTGCAAAAAAATGTCACCGGAAATTCTATCTTTTGAGTACGAAATGATGAAGGGTAATTAGACGAACATTGCAAATTAGACAAACTATTTCAGTCGACAAATGATACCAAAAGGATTTAACAGCATATATGCATTGCACAAAACACGTCGGCGTAACTTAAATAAATGCAGATTTTACTTACCTTTTTTTTATTACCACCTCCTCAACACTGGCCAATCATAGCTGAGATTAATTAATCACAGGATACACTGAAAAAGCGAGTGTCAATAATATAATTAATGTTTGAAGTATTCGAAAACCCTTTTAGCTGTAATTCCATTTGCGGATTAGTTTTATTCCCAACCACTTGGGTGCATTGGAAATTTTCAGACAAATTTCCTCATCGCTATGGGACTTGTTTATAGGAAATTTGCAATTTACTATGGTAATGCGGATTGCATCTGTGGGAAATTACAAGAGAAGGCATAAATTATCAGTAAAATGACTTAATTAAGGATTGTAGATATGAGACAAACAGTACGAATATCGTTGATTAAAAACACGCGGGAGATCTTTTGGGTGGTGTTTCCGATTGCGTCACATATTCCCGAGAGATCGCGCACTGCAGCCCCTGAAGAGGACCAGAATATGATGGTCGAAACGTCGGCACTTCAGCCTTGGACGTGGCGTCACCCGGACAGCCCAGATCATGACCTCATAACAAAAGCTCCATAAGAAGTCGCCCGAATAAAACCCAAGTTTTAAATCAGTTATCATTGCTTCCTTATGTACTTCATCGCAGTTGATGCCATGCCTTTTTAAGTTGCACAAACTTATATCACTCGCACGCTGAAAATGCGTTCTTCGATCACCAATTCCCACTGATTGGTTTATTAGTTTCAGGACCATTTTTCTGACGGGTAACGCAGCTACGTGGAGTCTGGATATATGAACTATTGATATATGAATGAGTGAAAACCATAACGGTATAAGTGATAGTGTATAAATCCTGAGAAATCTGTTTATTTACGTCAATACATATATTTATGTCAATTTATAAAATGTCTCACAGTTTTGATTTTCACCCATTCATAGAAAGAGAAAGAGAGAGAGAGAGAGAAAGAGAGAGAGAAAG